AAAACTCACCTAACAAAACAACGTGTCACAATCCATATAGCGGGTTGGGATATAGACGCTGTCCTATGTATCCAGCAACCAGATATAAAGTATTGTTATCCTTTTTTTGATACCTTGAACTTTTGAGTTATCATTTTATTTTCTTTTATGCATATTTGTGTGACACCACCCTCGTTTGAACTCAATTTGCATTACGGCCCCAACGACTGATTGATTTCGTCTGCTTAAGATCAATTCACAACGTGGGTAGGCGGACTGGAAATCAACGCAGTTACTTTGGTAACAAGACGTGTGAAGCGAGTTGGGAACGACGAGGCTGATATCGAATCTAACCAGATTCCCATCCGAATCACCAAAAGGTTAGAACGTCACATTTGGGTGCCGCGACCGATACCAAGCCAGTTGGTCGTCACAGGACGGGACAACACGACTGACGCAAACAGGCGGACGTCACGTTTGGAGCGGCGACACCCGAACGAAGCAGCGAGGAGCGAGCGAAGGCTGTGGAGAGGGACGTCACATCAACATACCAAGAAATCACCACTTCTAAATTTATTAATTTACAAAACACTTTCATTGATTACAGAATTAGTAGTGATAACTCCAACATAAATATATGCAATTCAGCTTTAGCTTGTTTTTTTTAATAGTAAACCCAACAAACAAAAACATTCCCAATTACTACAATAACTATCGCTAGAATTTATTCCTCCTACCTCTTCCATTTTATTACTATCTCCTATTCCCACCTTTCCTCCTACAACCATCACTCTTAGGACGCTTGTGAGATGTTGTGTCTAAACTTTTGACCTTCGTTTATCGTCAAGGAATCCTCCCAGACTAGCCAGCATTCAACACCCCATCCATTCTTCACCAAACTGCTATCAACAAGAACTATTGTTTCACTCCGTCACCTGCATCATTTGTATTTTCCCCCAAACATATGGAAAAAAAGGAAGTGACGTTTCACATACGGTTTGCTTACAAGCAGAATTGTTCATAACCATTTTCGATTCTCACCCGTCGAGGTGCAATTGAAACGCACCGAAACAAAGTTGCATTTTTGTAGTGAGCAAACTGCACTTGTCTATATGATAAAATTATAATATATATATATATATATATATATATATATATATATATATATATATAGTTGTGTTAGAAATATAATGGTAGGACATTACTTAGATGACAACATTGCCACTTACTTAAAACCACACAGCTGACAGTTTAAAACGTGAGAGTTATTTCTGCTGCACTCTACACACACACACACACACACACACACACACACACACACAAATATATATATATATATATATATATATATATATATACGGGGCGTAACAGTAAAATTGTCCAAATCATGTAAAAGCAAAATTGTTCAATTGTTAGATTAAGCTTTAGACCATTGTATCTTAGAAATGATTAAAGATATTTTATTGGAATTCTCCTAGGTTTTTATAACATTATTGGGCTCTACTTTGAGCAATAAGAATGTATAATTACTCTCTATGCTTAACAGAAGAATCATGATGAAATCGATCATAAACGAAAATGACATGTTTATCATTAATTAATGATAGCTAAGGATCGAAAGCTCATGAATATTGAAATAAAATTTAGATATATACATTATTTCAGGATCATTTTCAACTTATTCAAGATGATCTTCGCCCTCTCTAACCTTCTAAGTTTTGTCCTGAAGTAACAACGTTCCTCACAGGTTTTACGTACAATTTCATTTTCAAGTCATTTTTCACTGATCTTTGGACTATCATAGTTGAAACTCCTCACGTGCCAAACGTCTTATGGATTGAATATTTTCTAATGGATCTCTTAGTTGAAATGATGATCCCTCTTCCTGTTCTGATCAAGTTTTCCTATCTACTGTTCCTTTTCTTTTTAAACATATTCACAATTCTCTTGATGGTTCTTGAATGAACTTTGATGATGGAAGGCAGAGTATAAATATTGTACCTGAATGATCATTTCCTATCACCTTAGCTCATTTGGGAAGACAGACAGTGGGGCTAGCACAAAATGATTGTAACCTGTTCTCTTTCTCGATGTATAAATCAAAAGTTTTTTTCAGTGATTCTTACGACAAATGGTGTCGAGATGGCTAAACATCTCATCTGAAAACCTGGAAAAAATAAACTCGGTTAGTTTAGTGTTTTTTAGATATTAAATATTTTGTGGGATGGACAATTATGCTGTTACACGATTTGGACAATTTTGCTGTTACACAGAAACGTTGTGTTCCTAAAAGTATTAATCTAGAACAGAGAAAAGGAAGAAGAAAGGGAGAAAGGACAGATAAAGCCGGAAAAGAAATAAAAATATTCAAATAGATTTCACAATTGGCTTTAAAACAAATCAGAATAAATAGACTTTTTAGCGGTAAGTCCAAATATCTACAATGATATATATCAAATGTTCAGAAAACTAATCGGCAACCCACTTTACATAAACACTTCTTCTAACCACGCAACCAGCATAAAATCCCATAAAATTTCTATGGCGATAGATTATCCGACAATTGGTTAAATGAAAAAAAAATTAAAAGAAGCAAAAACCAATATGAAATATCATTTTTTGGCAAAATTTACATTTGCATTTCACAGTAAAAAGTCAGCAGAAAGAGAAACATTATATAGTTGAACTGAAAATATAATGAACATGCTAAAATAAATATACGCAAAAATGTTCATCAAACGCATCGACAAATCCTTTCCTAAACCAAGCAAAACGCTCAAATACTCAAGAGAAATAATCTACAACTTATCTAAAGTTGCACCGATAACAGGCTACAAACCAGAAAAATCAAAGTAAAAAATCACTACAAAATAACTGCAACATCCACCTATAACTGAAGAATAAAGAACGAATGCGCACTAAAAGTTAACTACTTGCAAAATAACGTAATATACGAAGCTACGGTAAGATCTTAATAAAATCCAGACGATACAAAACTATCACAGAATGTATAGAAACTAACAAAGACTAAAAAAAAAGGGGTAAAACACACTAAATAAAATATTAAAACAGAGTCAACTTGCAGAAAGATCTCAAAACGGCGTAACCTTTGCCTACATGGGAAAATATTGATAATCTCTTCGACAAAATAAAAAATGTAATTATAAATTATATATATAATACAAACATATACACATATATCGATATATGCAATTAAACACACACACGCGCGCATATATATATATATATATATATATATATATATATATATATATATACAAATGGTGTGGTAGAAATATAACGGTAGGACATTAATCAGATGACGAAACCATTGCCACTTACCTAAAACCACACAGGTGACAATTTAAAATTTGACAGGTATTTCTGATGCACCCTACACACACACACACACACACACACACACACACACACACACACACACACACACACACACACACACATATATATATATATATATATATAATATAATATATTATTTTTTTGTTTAAAAATATTTCCTTCGCTACATAAGAGTTCTCATGTTTCAAAAACGAGAGCCGAAATCATCAAATAATTAAAAATTGTTGATTGTGGTGTTTAGTCCTGTTTCATCTTCAAGCGAAATTTTGGGAAGCGGGACTAAACACTGCTAATCCAAATTAATTTTAATAATTATTTGGATGATTTCGGCTCGCTTTTGAAACATAAGAACTCTTATGTAGGAAGGAATCATATTTTTAAACAAAAAATATTATTATAATATAAGCTCTACTTCTGTATGGAGCACTGTCTTCTTAAAAATAAAAACAAAAATACAAAGGAACCCCGGATTATGCACCCAACGTGTTCTTTTCTATTTTCTGCATACCTACGCATATATATATATATATATATATATATATATATATATATATATATATGGGGCGTAACAGTAAAAATTGCCCTGACGATCCGTTCAGGTGAAACCTAGGTTAGGTTTGCCTGGCTCCTTAGGATTATCTTTTATATATATATATATATATATATATAGATATATATATATATGGGGTGTGGTTAGAACGTTCTCTTTCTGACCATGAAACCCGGATTCGAATCTCACCATGGTCGATTTGTCAGGAATGCGAATTCCTGATATTGTCGGACTTGATCCAAGCGTGCAGCACATTTGGAAAGTGCCTGAAAACCATACCACGGGTTGACCCAAGCCTTGTAAGTGAAATTGGTTAGACCGAACCCTTAGGGTCAGTCGACAGCTATGCTAGCACAAAGCCACAAATCAACGTGGCCGGGGGCTTGAGCGTGTTAGCCTTGTTCAAATTGTTGATCCCGCTAGAATACACGCTTTCTCCCAGAAACTGTAATTAAGGTCTGCTCAGCACTGTATAAACCACAGGTGGGCTCTGTAGGTGTTGATCAAAGCACATAATGTGCCTGAGCGAGCATCTGCAATAGGGATTATCTAGCCGCCTTAGTAGACAGGTATCCTCGAATACGAGTTGGCATGATGAAATGGATTGTCTGACAATTATTTAATATATTTTCTGTTTATACATCTATATATCTATTAAATAACGTATAAATAAAAAAAATATTGTCTTGATGAATTTAATTTTAACATCAAGAAACTGATTATATTACTGGAAAGGATCAGTATAAAAATAAATAGTCACAATATGCCTATATTGTTCTATAAAACATGTTTGGAATATATATATATATATATATATATATATATATATATATATATATATATATATTCATTCTCTATATCTATATATAGTTAACACACCCAATGAGATCTATAAATCGACAGAAAAAAAAGCAGCTCGAACTCAGATCACGTCCACCAAACATAACCGCATCGTTCCCCATGTTTTCATTTCTAAAACCTGACTATATGGATGGTTCTAATCCATGTGTCTGTTATGAATACGCCATTTTGTTTATTGTTTGCAACAATTTTCACACACCCACGGACACATACACGAACATAACCGAAGTCAAATATATTCTTACCGTGAATGACGATCCCTAATAATTTCAAAATATTATCGTGGTCAAAAGAACTCATTATTTCCACTTCTCTTTCAAAATCCTTCTTCACTTCATTGGACACTTCTTCTTTAAGGACTTTCACTGCCACCTTATTTGATGGTCCTTCACCAGCTGTCATCTCTCCTAAAAAAACAGACAATATGAAATCAATGTTCAGGTAGGTCGGAGAATGTGCTTTACACCATAAAGAATAATATTCTAGTAATAATATTCTAGTACATCTAAAAGAGCGTTTTATACAATAGAGAAAGATTTGCAATCAATATTCAGGTAGGTCTAAAGGTGCGTTTTATACAATATAGAAAAATATGCGTTTAGTATTCAGGTCTAAAGGTGCGTTTTATACAATATAGAAAAATGTGTTTAATATTCAGGTCTAAATGTGCGTTTTATACAATATAGAAAAAATGTGTTTAATAGTCAGGTCTAAATGTGCTCTTTATACAATATAGAAAATATGTGTTTAGTATTCAGGTCTAACGGTGCGTTTTATACAATATAGAAAAATATGTGATTTGTACGAGAGGTCGACGTAGGAGTGTAATATGTTCAGTATAGCAGAATATGATATATAAATTTCTATGTATCTAAATAATGTTAGGTATTTATTTGAATGTTAAAGTGCAAAAATTTCTGCAACACATTTCATCCTCTAAAACAACTTAATCGGACTGAAGTAATGTTCTTCTTGATAAAATCATATTTATGTTGTGGGATGAAGGGAGATATAAACGCAAACGTCAGTTATAATTATGGAAAGCAGAGAAATGCTGATGATGTAGAAATCATAAATTTTAAATGGTAACATTTTGAATTAAGGTATGCATATATATTCCAAGTAGTATTTGTTCGTGTGGAATGAAGTGAAGATAATAAGCACAAACATTGAAATCAGGCATTGCTGATCATATATGGCGGTAAAAGCAGAACCATCAGTTCTTGTAGAATGAAGTCCAGATAATAGACAGAAACACCGAAATCAAGCATTGCTGATCATATATAGAGGAAAAAGCGTTTGTTATTAATCTCTGTGGAATGAAGTGAAGATAATAAACAAAACATTCAAATCAGGCATTGCTGATCATATATGGCGGTAAAATCGGAAGCATCAGTTCTAGTAGAATGAAGTCCAGATAATAGACAGAAACACTGAAATCAAGCATTGCTGATCATATATAGAGGAAAAAGCGTTTGTTATTAATCTTTGTGGAATGAAGTGAAGGTAATAAACACAATCATTGAAATCAGGCATTGCTGATCATATATGGCAGTAAAAGCGGAACCACCAGTTCTTGTAGAATGAAGTCCAGATAATAGACAGAAACACTGAAATCAAGCATTGCCGATCATATATAGAAGAAAAAAGCGTTTGTTATTAATCTTTGTGGAATGAAGTCCAGATAATAAACACAAACATTGAAATCAGGCATTGCTGATCATATATATCGAGGAAAAAGTGTCTCTCATCCCCTCTGGAATGAAGTCAATATAATTGAAAGAAATATTAGAATCAGGCATTGTTGATCATATATAGAGGAAAAATGCTGTTCATCAGTCCCTGTGGAATGAAGTCAAGATACAGAAACATTGACATCAGGCATTGCGGATAATATATTGAGGAAAAAACCTTTTTCATCAGTCCATGTGGAATGCTGTAAAGATACTTAACAGAAACATTGAAATCAGGTTTTGCTGATCATATATTGATGGAAAAAGTTTGACTACAATTCCTTATGGAATGATTTTAAAGTAATAAACGATGAATGACAGTGGAAAATATAACTGAAATAATTAATGTTTATATTAAGCAAGCCAGTCTCCTCAGGCTTAGTATGGAAATACATAATAGTATATTTTATTAAGAAAGAAAGGACACTAAGAGATTCTACCACTACACGTACATTTCTATCCATCTGTTTACAGATATTAGGTTTACGATTTCAAAATTAAACGACTGGATTGTTCAAAACTTTAATCCTCGTGAATTAAAGTGTTGGTTAAAAAAGTTCTGGTAGCAGTTGTGAGTTCAATTCCGAGGTCTGGTAGTGAAGAGAAGTCACATACTCTGCTTCAGTGGAAAGGCGAATAATCTTGTTAGTATTCAAGGTATGAAAAATTCCCTAACCTCGGAAAAGGTTACAGAGTACGTCAGACACCTGAAGAAGGCTGAAGAGCACAGAGGCTGAAGTATCAAGAATATGACAAACGAAATGGAAATTAAAAAAATACAATGCCTTAGTAATCGGAATGCAGTCGATTCTGGCTTTCCTCAAATTAATTTTCTTTATTAACAGTGAATTGCCATGAATTCTTCGGAAAGATAGCGAAGTGTTTTAATGTTGCCATCTCCTTGGTCTTAGATTCAGACTTTTGCTTCACTTAGAGTCCTCTCTGCTATTTGACCCATAGCCGTAGGAAGACGAGATGGATTCATATCTTTCTCAAGGGTGTTTATACGAAAGTGAATGCAGGATTTGAACACAGTTCGACGAGCCCATTTTCCGTGCCGATAACCGTTATACTACGAGATGGTCCGGATTATATGTGTTAAAATAATTATCATTACTTATTTTAATTTTAATGAAGAAAAATTATTGGAAATGTTTACACACGCCTAATTCGTTATTGGCTGAGTTTTGTTGAAAAGAAGTAAAATTAAGATTTGAATTATTTTGTACTTCTGCTCACCATATACAAGAGCAAATCAAGGTAGCGGTTTACTTACTGAGGTTGTTGGAAGGGGGAAAGTAAGAAATACATAGAGTTTAGAGTTTGATCCATAAAGTAACATTATTGAGGATGAGGGTTCCCGGGGGAACTTCTTCATTACCAATGGAATACGAAGGAAATGAAGTTGAGTCGACCCTATATACCGGGTATGACGGAACATAGCTGTGAAGGTCTGGGTTGCGGGATCGAACGTATGTGGCTGGTCTGAACATTTGCAATGGAAATAGCGAGAGAGTAATGATAGTATAACAACGTTTCGTCTGTGGGGAAAGGGGTTGTAGGGTGGAAAATAATTTATCACCCGCAAAGCTGCATAAACGCTTTTGAACTCTGTGAAGACTGGAAAGTGAGGATTATGTGGCGCCGGCCCAGATATGGCAGAAATAACTAATTTTTGGTCTGATTTGGTTCTTGTAATGATAGCAGGTCGAGCGTGTGTTACAGAGTATCCCGTCGGGAGTTAGATTTTTGCCAGGTCATACAAATGGCCGAATTTTTGTTACAAAGTCAACAGGTGCCCGTAGCCTATTCCGAAAAGCTGATTGGATTCTCAACTGGACATTTGATTGAATTGCAACCAGTGTTTTGGGCAACCATCAAGTCGCAAAAACAGCTTCCAATTTATATTCCATGTCATTCTTCTTCGAGCTATAAACACGTTCAGACCTTTCAAATGCTTAATATGTGGCCTTTTTTTTTCAGAAGTTGCGTTCGATAATCGGTAGCTATAAGCGATGTGGCTCTCAGCAATTTCAATTTTTAGCGAACGGTGAAATATAATCAGAAGCAATGTATATATAATTACGAATATCTTGCCCTTACAGGAGATCCGTAAACAGATTTTTATGCAACACGTCTCTTTAAGACGTGGGTGATCATGGCTCTCCCCAAATTCCTAGGGGCTTACGGCCACATCCCGTTGAAGTACCTGTTCCCGTATGTTAAGCAACATAGAGCCTGGTCAGTACCTAGATGGGTGACTGTGAATACCAGGTCCTGTAAGGTTGAATGTGCAGGTGGTGTAAGGGATAACTGGCAGGAAGTGGAACGATTATATTGAATCAGTTGCTAGGTCTGCTGCTAGGACAGCTGGTTCACTGTGTTGTGTCAGACAATTTTTTCCCGACAGACTCTATTTTACACATTTATAATTTTACCATTCGCCTATATATTGTCGCATCTGGTCTGGTGCTTCTGCTATGTATTTAGAAATTCTTTATAAAATACAAAAAAAAAACTCTGCAATGTCAGTGGTCTTGACCTGGCATCTCTGCTTCATTTATTTTCCCACCTCTGTAAGGCAGCTTCCATGTCTCTTTTCTATAGTTTCATGGTAATTGTTCTGAGGTACTTTCCTCTTTGATACCTAGACTATGAATTTAAACACAATATTAGATCGGTTGCTAGGCCGCATTATTTTACAGTTGAAATGGCTAGATGTAACCGTAAGTTTTATGCTAATAGTTTCTTCTCTCGCACTTCTCCCTTGTGAAACTCTCTTACGTCTTTGTGCTTTCCAGCAACATCACGCTGAAACCTTTCTTATATAACCATCGAAGTTAAGCAATGTCAACCATGTTGAGTATCTAGATGGATGACTGCTTTAGAATACCATATTGGATGAGCGGTGGTGTAATGGATAATGACCCAGATTTGCTGATCGTAGAGCCGAGTTCAAATGACAGTTGGGTTCGTTAGAATTAATTAAGGGCAAATACACTTGGGAAAGGTATGAATCCGCATCTTTTCCCCAAAGTTATGGGTTAATTAGTGAGACTAGTACCATAAAACCATTATTATCACAAGAAATTTTATAATCTGAAAATATTTTCTGGTTTTAAATAACCACCAAAGATTGATAAACTGTAATCAATCCCACTTTTCCCCTATGTAACTCAATTTCCTTCTTCCCTGCTGTCTACAATCGTCAAAAACATTAAATGCAATGTCAACCGCCATCTTCTCTACCTGAATTTTTAATGAGCTAAAATATAAATATCATAATTAATTTATCGAGTCTAGAATAATCCTCAACAGAATGCAGAAAGCACTGGACGGCCGTTTCATCCTATTTTGGAATCATCAGCAGTGCGCATCCACTGCAGAGAATCGAACCCATACCGTTACGATATAACGCAAGCGTCATACCCACTGGAACAACGGGTCTCGATGACGAAAAGGTAACAAACCAGACTCGATATAGCGCCGGCACTTCACAAATTCCGTCGTGTGAAGCATCCGAGTTTACTTATACCAACGGACTGTGCCCCCATGAGTCACGTCTTCTATTCCCCAAGCCGGAGCATTAGAAGCCGGTTCAAGAAAGGATATATATATACATACATACATATATATATATATATATATATATATATATATATATATATATATATATATATATATAAAGAGAGAGAGAGAGAGAGAGAGAGAGAGAAATTAAGGAAGATTTGAATAATCATAATTAATTCATCGAGTCTAGAAAAATACTCAACAAAAATACAGAAATTTCGATATATATATATATATATATATATATATATATATATATATATATATATAGCATATTTGTGTATGGATACTTTTCTTATGCAAGCTCTATTAAAGAGGACTGGCGAAGTACTGCTAGTAAACTTTTTATTCAGTCTTTCTTATAAGAGTTTTCTTTTCTAGACATAAATTCTGAAAAAAAAAACTGTCTAAATGTTCTATATATCCTAGCACGTTCGGCTATTCCATAGATATTATCAAGAATGATTTTAAAAATTTTTTTACTGAATATGTAGATCTGTTATATACCGTACCTATGAGCATTAACGGGTATGTCCCAATGGTCATTATTTTAAGTGGGGGTAATATGCTGTCTTATAAGTCTACCACTGGCAGTGGTTTACCTACTTCACGCCGCTGGCGAGTGTTGTAATTTGTTGGTGTTATAAAGATTATCATTTCATTTCCAAACTCTGTTTTGGTTATTCTCATTCAGTAACCCTGCCTAGGTTACAACAGTATCTATAATGATAGAAAAGCTTTTTATTTTTCAAACACAGCCATCACATTGTGGCCGTGTTTATAATTAATATCATTGATTTGTTGGCTATTTCTTTTTTTTTTATTGTTAATGCAAAACGGCTATAAATAATCGATTATTTGGTATATCTACCTATTCTCGCTCTCTCTCTCTACCTTTCTCAGTCTGTTCGTATCTATCTATCTATCTATCTATCTATCTATCTATCTATCTATCACAGTCTGTTCGTATCTATCTACCTATGTATCTCAGTCTGTTTCTATCTATCTATCTATCTATCTATCTATCTATCTATCTATCAGTCTGTTCGTATCTATCTATCTATCTATCTATCTATCTATCTATCTATCTATCTATCTATCTCAGTCTGTTCACCTCTCTCTCTCTATCTATTTATCTATCAGTCTGTTCATATCTATATATCTCAGTCTGTTCGTATCTATCTATCTATCTATCTATCTATCTATCTATCTATCTATCTATCAGTCTGTTCGTAATTATATATCTCAGTCTGTTTCTTTCTATCTATCTATCTATCTATCTATCTATCTATCTATCTATCTATCTATCTATCTATCACTGTCTGTTCGTATCTATCTATCTATCTATCTATCTATCTATCTATCTATCTATCTATCTCAGTCTGTTTGTCTCTCTCTCTCTCTATCTCTCTCTCTCTCTATCTATCTATCTATCTATCTATCTATCTATCTATCTATCTATCTATCTGCCCAAATCGTCCAAATATTCTTCAGCGGAAAATGACACCGTCACTTCAAACTTGGCCGTCAAGTCGTTAGACTCGTTCGACGTTTTTCGGCAGCCTTCAACAAATTGAACATCTGAAAATGTTGAACGCTTGCGAGACGCAATCAGCGGACATGGATGATTGACGGATATTTTCCCATCAGATTCGAATTTTGATTTCCAAGGCAGAGAACTAAAAATATCTACATAATAATAGCAATAGTAATAAAAACTGTTTCCTGGAAATGTTCTCCGTCAAATGCTGAAGTCGGTTGAAGTTTATAAAAATGTTCCTTTTGGAACAATTTTTCAGAAAATAGGTTTCCCAATTTCACTGTCATAGTTCTTTTCAGTACTGATTAGAGTATTCTTCCTAACTTTTTGTTTAGAGTAGTGTGGAAGGTTTTTTTTTTAAGTTTTAAAATATAATTTATATTATAAATTTTTATACTATAAATACAGTTGCGGCCAAAATGTTCAGAACGGCATTGTTTTCGTCAGAAAAGTAGGTATAAGTTTTTATCAAAGTTGTTTTATATTCTATAATTTTCACAGACAATAAATACGATATTAATTGTTATTGTCTGAGATTTTGTTGTAATTTGAGAGGATAATACAAACGTTATGGATGGTTTAATGATTGCAAAACCCATGGCGGCCAAAATGATCAGAACGGTTGTAATAAAAAATGACAGAGAAAACTGGAATTATTTAATATTTAGTGTGAAGCCCTTTAGTTTCAATCACACTTTGACATCTTCGACTGCATGAGGAAATTAAATTTTCAATTTCTTGCTGTGTGATCTTATTCCATTCTTCCTGAAGGGCATTCCATAATTGCTCGATTGTTTTAGGATTTCTGGCTTTCGAACGTCCTTCTAGAATATTCCACACATTTTCAATAGGATTGAGATCTCGGCTTTGAGCAGGCCAATCCATAACAATAACCTTTTCAGCCTTGAGGAAGTTCATGACTACTTTAGTCTTGTGACATGGAGCATTGTCCTGCATGAATATGGGTGGCCGCTTAGTTGCATTTCTCAGCACAGGCAAGACATGATCTTTTACAAGTTGTTTATAAACTCCTGCATTTACCTTTCCATGTAATCGCACCAAAGGGCCCACACCATCTCCGGATATCATCCCCCAAACCATGACACTTCCCCCACTGAATTTAACACTAGTCTTAAGGCATTTAGGCGACAATTTTTCACCTACTTTTCGACGAACGTACCTTTTCCCATTTGAGCTAAATAACATAAACTTAGATTCATCACTGAAATGCACCGTTTGCCATTTTTCTTGAGACCACAACACATGTTCGGTTGCAAAGGTAAGACGACACTTTTTATTCTTGGAGCTGATCAGTAGCTTCACTGCAGGTGTTCTTGCTTGTAGGTCATGTTCAACTAAACGATGAGACAGTTTTTCGAGATAAAGTTTTCGTCAGTACAATGCTCATTTCCCGAGAAACATCTGCAGCAGTTTTAAATCTGTCCTTTTTAACCAACTTTACCATAGCACGATCTTCTCTCTTGGTCGTTTTTCTTGGCCTACCTGTAGACTTCCTTGCTTCACACGAACCCCAATCATCGTAGACCTTAAGAATACCGTGAACAAAATTTTTTGACTTATTAACAATCTTTGCAATAGACCCAATATTTAAATTATTCTTCTTTCGAAGCTTAATAATCTGCTGACGAATTGGTAACGGAGTAAGTGGTATTATATTAACAAAGTACACTGCAGATATTCTTACTAATGTTTAGTAAACGAACCGTCACGTAAACAATTTAAAAAATTAGAGTTTGCCAGTTAAATATACTAAAACACAGAGTAAAAGCAACCGTTCTGATCATTTTGGCCGCCATGGGTTTTGCAGTAAATCACGAAATCATCCATAACTTTTGTATTCTCCTCTCAAATTATACCAAAATCTCAGACAATAACAATTAATATCGTATTTATTGTCTATGAAAATTATAGAATATAAAACAAATTTGATAAAAACTTATACCTACTTTTCTGACGAAAACAATGCCGTTCTGAACATTTTGGCCGCAACTGTATATGAAATACCAGCAATAAATAAATACTAAATAATAATAAATAAATAATAATTCAATAATTTAATAAATTTAATAATTTAATAAATTTAATAATTTAATAAATTCAATAATTTAAATAATGAGTTAATAATTATTAGTAATTAATAGTTAATAATTAATAATATATATTAATTATGTAAAAGTTAATAATTATTAATAATTTAATAAATTTAACAATTTATAAATTAAATATTAATCTAATAATTAAATATTAATTTAATAATTAAATATTAATTTAATAATTAAATACTTTTAATAAATACTAGTATAGAAATACTATACTTCTTATTTATAACTTAAAAAAATTAATGTTTCTCTTAAAACATTTTTTTAGAAAATAAGATTCTAAATATCAGAGTTATCGTTCTTTTCAGTGACTGGTTAGCGTATCCTTCGAAATCTTTTGTTAAGAGTAATGTGGAAGGTTTTGTTTATGCAATTATTAATTATTTCGCATCGCATTCAAAAAACTGTTCAACACGCGCCATGTTGGATTTGGTCGAGATCAAAACAAGCAAATAAAATGCGCGCAACAGCACGACCTAACATGCGCAACTGAGATATTTGCGTGGTCGTTTATAACGACTTTTACGAGCGCGTCAATAGCGGTGAACGCATTCAGGAAACTTTCATTACTGATAGAATTTGCAAAAAGGAACGATCAATTAGCTTATCTTCATACCCTGCTTAGTGGCAAACGCTGCTGGTGGCGCCAGGGGTGCCGGTCCCGCCATAGTCACCGAAACCTTGATATCACCCCCTGGTCGGCGGCTGATGAAGACAGGTTATCGCACGTGCTAACACACGTTGTATGTTAAAATATCTCTTCGTGTTACATGTACCAAACATTTTAGCCGCTGCTGTTGTTGAAAGTCAAGTGAATCTTCTATTATTTGGAACAGTTCGTTGTTTGTGATACGGTGGCACCAGTCTGTGAGATCTGATGAAGGTAAGACCTACAGGATTCTTTCGCTGGAAGCTATTTTCAAGCAGTGATCGGAGAAATATGTTGCATACAGATTGTAGTTTAAGTATTTCTTAACGAGTTTGGCTTCATGCTCCTGATATTCTTTGAGATGATATAACTAAACCCCCTTATATTATATTAGTATTAAAAATAAAAATGAAATAAATAAATCGCATTCTTTTTGAGCGGCCTCGTTCCCCCTACGGGACGTAAATATAATAGAAATTTAAACAGACAGATCTTGTCGATTCTTTTAAATCAAACTTCTTTGTATATATATATATATATATATATATATATATATATATATATATATATATATTTCAATTAAAAGGCGCAATTATGATTTACAAATTCATGAATCATTCATACAAAAAACAAATATAGAGGTTAATGATTTACCGAGAAGTAAAAACAAGAACAAAATCTACTTCCATACCTGATGATGTCTGTAGGAACAGACGAAAGGTTGTAAAAAATTAAAAAGACCTTATGCAACTGGAATTTATAAACAGGGATCACATCATTCATATACAGGTTCGGGGTTGGTGTATATTATTTATATTGGTTGCGATGATGTATTCTCGCCATTTAAATCATTAACATCTATATTTGTTTTTTGTATGAATGATTCATGAATTTATATATCATATATATTCAAGTATGTAGTCAAATATAAGCTAAACATACTTGGAGTTGATGTTGAAGAGAAGACTGGGACAATTCTAACCAGAAGAGAATTGAGCATTCCAACAAAAGGCGCATCATTTGAAAGAGAGAAACAGAATCCGTCCCAGAGCTATCCAGACACCAGCACATTGGCAGTATTTGAGAAAAAAGTCACCCTCTCGGCGACTGGTTTAGCCGGTCACATGAGATCCCACCAGAGAAGTCAGCTTAAAAAAACTCCCGTGAATGCAACCCTACCAGAAATACATGTAGATTAACTTGTGCGAGTTTTCTGTCAAGGTTTGACATTCTGTTGAGGGAGTCAAACGTCACATGATTATACACAGGGACAGCATACGTAACACAGACAAATTTTCTTTACCACGTATATAAGGGAGGTTCTAAAAGCGAAACTGGCCTTAATAATCACTTACGGACTCGTAGCAAAACATTTTTTGGGCTTATGAGCGAGTCGTTTATTTTGTTCCAGCTCAAAATTAAGACTTTTTTTTTTATAGTGAGCTGATACCAGGTAATTCATCTGTGCATAAGCTCATAAAAACTTTTCACGGATGTAGTTAAATTCAACCTAAGGACTCTTGGCGTTAATGTTGAAGACTGGGAAACGGTTGCTGGAGATAGATCTGGCTGATGAGAGTTAAATTAATGCTGAAATAATTTTGAGAAGAAGAGAATTGAGCATTCCAACAAAAAGCTCATCATTTGGAAGAGAGAAAGAGAATCCGTCCCAGAACTATTCAGACACAAGCACATTGTCAGTATTTGAGGAAAAGTCATCCTCTCGGCGGCTGGTTTAGCCGGTCACATGAGATCACCCTAGACAGGTCAAGCTTAAATTCCCGTGAATGCAGCCCTACCAGAAAGACCTGTAGGTTACATGTACGAGTTTTATAAAAGTCTTTTGCAGGACTCAAATGCGACATGTTTTTGCACAGGGACAGGCAAATTTCCAACATGGGTAACACAGACAAACTTTGCTCGCCACATGTGAAAGAGAAATTGTAAAAGTGAATCTAGCGTTAAGAATCCTTTACGCGCTCATAGCAGTGCATTAGCTCAGGTATAAATGATGAAAATAATAAAGTTCTGAATGAAAAACACAATAAAACTACCACGTGAGGGGATGGTATTCATCTGCAATGAAGTAACAATCACAGTATGTATATATATATATATATATATATATATATATATATATATATATATATATACGAGTATAGGATTGGTATAGATGGAATAAATTACAATAACCCAAAATAATATTCTTAAAAAGAGTGCTCAACACCATCACTTGATAAGACACCAAAAGTTTTGAAACAAAATGGGTATTTTTGTAGTGATGTTATAACAGCTTTATGTTATAATTTTTGAATATATATATATATATATATATATATATATATATATATATATATATATATATATATATAATAATTAGTAGCAAGCAGACAAAATAGATATATAAAAATATATAAATATATATATTTTGTCTGCCTACTATTAATTATTCTTGACACAGAAGTATTACAGAAAGAGGTAAACAGAGAAGAGGAGGGCGCAAAAAAGAAAGATTAAGAGAAAGCGAAGGAAGAGAGAGGAGAAAGAAAAAAAAGAGGTAAAAATAAGACAATTGAAGGCAATAGACACAAAAATTCGAGGACAGAGAAAAAGAAAAAAAAAGAAAAAGAAAAGCTAAAGAGAGAAGAAATGAAGAAAAAGAAAACAAGTAGCCGATGAAGAAAAAAGTAAAACGGCAATGTAAGGACAAGGGTTAATTATCTGAATATATATATATATATATATATATATATATATATATATATATATATATATATATAAATGTTAAACCAAGATTAAAAATGAAACAGAAATATAATAAAAAAAATGAGGGAAAGTGAAGGAAAAAATCAGATGAAGAAGAAAAGTGAAAGGGAATAAAGCTGTGCAAAATAACAAGTAGAATAACAGAAGGAAGAAAGAGAAGTTAAACTGAAGAAGAAGAAACAGAACAATCAGATGAAAGTGAAAGTGAAAGTGAAAATGTATATTATTTTAAATGTAGTTGTGGACTCGACTACATAGGTAGAACGACATAAAAAGCACGTGCCTGCTAAAATACTTAACAAAAATTTTTCGTTTGTTGATGCCATTCGAAATACATACGGGTCTTCTATAGCGGATCACTTGATAAATAATCTAACCTGTGCTATGGAATTTAATGTGAGCTGGTTCCCTGTTCTGGCCAAAGCACACTCGTTATTCTATCTGATGGTGTTGGAGACGCTGTTCATCAGGTCCAGGCGACCCGCTCTTTGTAAACAAAGAGACTGTTTGCTTGGGCTTGAGGTGCTGTGTCCCTAGCATCTTTGGTGTTATAACTTTTATTATTATATTTTTTTCCTGTCCATTCATTCACGTCATCCGCGACAGACTTTCTTCTCATAATTTGTTTCTCCGTTTACAGTTCTGACGAGAGGGGACCAAACCGGTCGACTTGTGTTTCTGTTTTAAAATTTATCATGCCCTATAGTAAAAAAATTTCTTGCCTTTAATGCCATATATATATATATATATATATATATATATATATATATATATATATATATATATATATATATTATATTTAGTTTTAGGAATTTGTTTTAATCATTTCCCTTCCAAGCAAAGCGGACTGACACTACTTCGCACGAATATACAGGAAGTGAAAATAAGAGAAAAGATTGAGTATAGGTATTATTGAGGAATGAACAAGAGATGAGAGGAATTCAAGAAGATAGAAGCTGACGATTGACGTTGCATTTAAAGTTTTGAAGATAGTAGTTATCATAGAAGCAAGTAAACGGAAGGGATTTTCACAGGCGGGAAGTGCGAGAAAAGAAACTCTTGGAATAGAAGTGGCGGCTGCATTTAGCTATTTCAACAGTAATCAAGTGGAACCTAGATGCTAATTTAGTAGCTCGTTTGAATTCATGTAGTCGGGGAACCAGGATAAAAAAAAGCTCGTCACAACCCAGTTAATATGAAAATAGTTGTAGATAAAACAGAGGGAAGCCATGTCATGTCGGTGAGAAAGTCACTGAAGACGGTATACCAAGTTAGGAACCTTTACATTATAGATCCTTCTTTGGATTTTGTCAAGAACCTCGAGATGAATACCAAGAAGACCAGACCAGATATGGTAGCAGTATTCAATGCATGGAAGAATGGCTGATTTTTGAATATGTGTGTGTGTGTCTGTGTGTGAGTAAGAGAGAGAGAGAGAGAGAGAGAGAGAGAGAGAGTATATATATATATATATATACAGTGTAACCCGGATATAAGAGAGTTGTCGGGACCAGAGAAGAAGTCTCTTATATCCGGGTTTCTCTTATATCCGGGTTTGGTCTATTTTATATACATTAACACAGGCTCTAATTTGGGACCAAAGAAAATCTCTCCTATATCCGGGTTTCTCTTATATCCGGGTCTCTTATATCCGGGTTACACTGTATATATATATATATATATATATATATATATATATATATATATATATATCGTAAAGGTAACAAATCCGTTGGTATATAATCCAAGTGAAACCTAGTAATATAAAATATTAAAACTGATCCATAAAAAGAGCTCAATGTATTTATTAATACAGAGCAATATAATTAATAAACAATAAAATCCAAAATTACCACATATGGGGCATAGGCTATTTCGGCAGACGAAGGTACAGGTCGTCTGTTTTATCAATGACATATATATATATATATATATATATATATATATATATATATATATATATATATATTTCGCCAATTCAAATAAGACTCCCATCATTTATCTCCCACTGGCGAGCTCCCATCAAATCCCCCCCTTCGAGAAAGCTCTCCACTTGGTTTTTTAGTCTAATCTCCAAGAACGCACTTTTTATTATTTATACTTCAGAAGCGATAAGTAGAAAGGATTTAAAGACAATTCGGCATAAACATATCAGAGCAGAAAAATTATTATTGTCACGTGACTTCTGCTCAACTAATCATAGAACAGGCTGCTTCCTTTAAAAAAAAGAGTAGGCTGAAAAATCCAGTATTGATGTAAATTATTTTGTCTGCCTGCTACTAATTATTCTTGACACAGAAGAATTGCAGAAAGAGGTAAACAGAGAAGAGGAGGAATGCGAAAAAGAAAGATTAACAGAAAGTGAAAGAAGAAAGAGGAGAAAGAAAAAAAAGATGTAAAAGTAAGACAATTGAAGGCAATGTGCACAAAAATCGGAAGACAGAGAAAAAGAAAAAAAAAGGCGAAAGAAAAGAGAAGAAATGAAGAAAAAGAAAACAAGTAGCTGATGAAAACAAAATAAAATCTAAACAGGCAATGTAAAAACAAGTATAAATTAAGGAAATATATATATATATATATATATATATATATATATATATATATATATATATATATATATAACGATGTTAGAGAAAGACTAAAAAAATGAAACAGAAAAATAATAAAAAACGAAGGAAAGTGAAGGAGAAAAATCAGGTGAAGAAGAAAAGTGAAAGGGAATAAAGCTGTGCAGAATAACAAGTAGAATAACAAAAGGAAGAAAGAGAAGTTAAAGTGAAGAAGAAAACGTAGATAAGCAGAACAATTAGATGAAAGTGAAAGTATAAAAAATGAAGAAAATGAAAGTGTCGAAAATTGAAAGAGAAGAAAAAAAAGAGTGAAGGAGTAAAACGAAAGCGAAAAGGAAGATAAATTGAAAGGTAACCGGCAGAAAATAAAAATGAAAGAGAAGTAAAAACGTGAAGGACAAGTGGAAAAGGAATGAGGAAATGAAAGTGAAAGTGAAAGTGAAAGTAAGGACCATTTAAAAAGTGAAGACGTAACAGAAAAAGTGGGGAAAACGCAGATAAATAAAAAGAGCTATAAAAGGAAAGAACAAAATGAAGATATGGAAGCGTGAAAGAATGATAAAGAAGATTGGGAAAGAATAATAATAATAATAATAATAATAATAATAATAATAATAATAATAAGAAGAAGACGATACAGAAAGCTAAAAATGAAGATAAAAGAAAGAGATTACCTTTGAAGACTTGACCGAAGGCTCCTTCCCCAACCAATTCTAGCAACTTGATGGAATTGACGGGAATCTCTTTGACAAAGAACTTTTTACCGGTGATGTCATCGCTGTAAGAACTGTAGTAGCTGGGGTTCTTGTTGATGACATTCATTCGATCCAGAAGTTGCATGCTGTCAGCAGTCTTAATCACTTTCTCGTTCTTGACCCGATAGTGCTTCTGATGCATTTTACGCAAAAACAGCATCACACAGAGAAGACTGATGATGCAAATGACAACAATCGGCAGGAGGATCTGAAGAATCAGGTGCAAAGAGACTGTTTCCCCGTTGGGCTCGGTTATTAAACTTCCCGGTACATCCTGTCATGAAAAATAAAGAAAAAGAAAAAGAACTTTTTATTTGATTTTCATAGGAATAATATTTACAAGAAGCATTAACAAACATGACGACATGCCTTAACAAATAAAAAATGGAAGGCTTTCTGTTATTTCTTTATATTCCAAAGTTTTACATTATTTACATTATTCGAACTATTGTTCTAATCTTTGTCGCCATATTTATTAAAACATTTCGGCTGTAATACGCTCCGGCCTTCTTCAGGTGGTTGGACTGTCGAACTGAACCCTTTACTTCACTCACTGGGGCAGACTGTTCTAGTTCCCCGTGCCATGTTGAATGGATGTCAGTTATCAGTTATCTCCTGTTAATTCCCCTCTCCAAGTTCTCCACTGCCTTAAACGGGTATTGAACTCACACTCTTTGGGTTCTGTCACTGGATCTAACCAACGCCTTTATCCACTGTGCCATGTGAACTTGAGGATAAAGGCGTTGGTTAGATACAGTGACAGGACCCAAAGAGTGTGAGTTCAATACCCGGTTAAGGCAGTGGAGAACTTTCAGATGGGAATTAACAGGAGATAACTGATAACTGACATCCATCAAACATGGCACGTGGAACTAGAACAATCTACCCCAGTGAGCGGAATAAAGGGTTCAGTTCGACATTCCAACCACCTGAAGAAGGCCGGAGCGTACAACGGCCGAAACGTTGTAATAACTATGGCGACAAAGATGAGGACAATAGTCCGAATAATGTAAATACTGTACATAATACCTCATCTCAGAAATATAGACAGATACTGAAAGGCCGAAACGTTGTGATAAATATGGTGACAAAGATGAGGACAATAGTCCGAATAATGTAAATACTGTACATAATACCTCATCTCAGAAATATAGACAGACTTCAAAGTTTTACATGAACCTGTTTTAGTGCTTTTATTATTAGAATTCACAATTACCATGGTGACTAGAAAAATCAAGATACAAGAAATCCAAAAGACCATTCTCTTCGGCACTGCTCGCATATTAAAGCGCGACTCCGTTTAACCAAATAATCTATCACACCGTTATGGTAGCCCCAGGTCTAAAAGATGAACTTCGCTACATGAGTGACCAAAGCGGGCCATTATGAAAAATCTCTGAATACTAGTACTATTACTCCTACTAATTTATTTATTATAAGTGTTGTAAAAATATATTCCATCAAATATAAAAGTACATATGACAACGTGGGTCGATGTCGGCATTAGTGTTATAACCTAGGGAAGGTTACTGAATAGAATATTCACACGATGTTTAGTAATGAACGATAATACTTAGGACAAGTACAACAAATATAAGATTCGCCAACAGCGAGTAGTAGTAGTAGTAGTAGTAGTCAGCTGCTAGAAATGAGTCGAGTGAATTCCACAATGAATCTCCAACTGCAGAATATCTACCAACCGCCCCACGGTCAAGGCCGAATTTAATGTGTGGTATCCGTATTCATAGGCCCAGCCAAAAATTCCTCGTAGGCCCCGTATAAAACCGGGTCGGGTACCTGTTTACTGAGACAAGAATCTGCCCTTCGATGTAGACTCATCTGCGGATCCTCTCTGCCCGGAGACAGATTTTGACCTGCACAGCTGGAGACGAATCACCAACTGCAGGTTATCTATCAATCGACCTAGGCGGTCAGATGTGACACAAGGCCGAATTTAATGTGGGCTATCCGAGCCGTGGACTCGGCCAAAAATTCCCCGTAGACACCGTATATAACGGAGTCGGGTAGCTGTTTCCCGAGATGAGACTCTGCCCTTCGACATAGCCTCGTCTAGAGATCCTCTCTGCTCGGAGGCATAGATTTTGACCAGAACTGCTGGAGACGAATCTCCGACTTCAGACCAACATACAGTAATTACTACTGTATTTATGTAAATGGGGACATACCCATTATCGTCTGTAGGTATGCTACAGCAATTAGTCAACTCGCAACATTTATGTGAAGGAAACTTGTAAAAATGGTTCGAACACACTCAGATCTGGTTGAGGCATAGGACCTGTGGTGATTTTAGTTGACATTACAAGACACTCAGAGACTATGACCAAAGCTAATCGCCCAGATCACATAGGGATCAAAGACCACAAAAATAGAATGCGTTTTCTTATTTCCAAAGACTGTGGTGCAGGTTTGAATATCTTCAAAAAAACTGTAAGAGGGCAGCGTGCTTGTGGCGTAAATCAAAAAAAAAAAATCACACATGAGGACATTAATAACTGAAATTGGGAAATGTTGTGATAGACTCAATGAAGGGATCCCTGACAATCCATGTCTTAATAGTCCTGGGTATGACGATAAACTACATCCGGCAGCTAGGACTCTAACCAGGAGATTGAATCATCGATATAGCAGTAGGGGTGAACATAAGCAATGGACTATCTATCTATCTATCTATCTATCTATCTATCTATCTATCTATCTATCTTATTCTGTTTCTTATCTATCTATCTATCTATCTATCTATCTATCTATCTATCTATCTTATTCTGTTTCTTATCTATCTATCTATCTATCTATCTATCTTATTCTGTTTCTTATCTATCTATCTATCTATCTATCTATCTATCTATCTATCTATCTATCTATCTGTCTATCTATCTATCTATCTATCTTATTCTGTTTCTTATCTATCTATCTATCTATCTATCTATCTATCTATCTATCTATCTGTCTATCTATCTATCTATCTATCTATCTATCTCATTCTGTTCGTTATCTATGTATCTATCTATCTGAGACCTCATCAGTGCCTTTCTTATAAGAACATCCTTTGTAATATTGGGAAATTGCAATATTCTCATCGTATCGACGTCTCATTTTTATTTAGATGCTTTTCTCTTGTTACAAAACCCAGAAAAACACACTTACACAACACTCGACACATTACTAAAATGATGTCAGCCACCATGGAAGTTCCTCATCTTATTTATCGACAACATTTTCGTGTGCGGTTATTAATAGTTTCAAGAAAAATGAATTGGATTCCAATTGGCTTTAAATGTCTTCAACAAGATGAATACATTGCCAAATTAGAAATGACATTTACGAAACTTAGCGCAATTTAGATCCACTCCAAGTGAACGAAATGAAACATATCACAAGATTTTGTTTCTCGAACCTTGCTATTACGGTAAAAACTAAATTTATACTTTGAAAACTCCCATTTGAAATAACAGGTTTTTAGGTGGGATCGAACGCCGACCACGGCACCGATTTCAGCCGGTAGCCAAGCATTAATCTTATTCGTCTATGACCTTTCCGCGTACGAATATCAATTATTTCAAGTAAGTTAAATTGGATTCTAATTGACTTAAATGTTTTCGTCAAAATGAACACGCTTTCCAAATGGATTAAGAATGATATCGATCGGGTTTTTTATTCAATTCTATATCGATTGCATATCGATCATTTAATTAATTTATAGTATGAGTTGCGATTTATGAAATAGGAAGTAGATGTTCTCTTGGTACATGTGAACTGATTTTTTCTTTGTTAAGCGTTTTTAGTCATTTAAAAGCAAAAATGGTTAAGTTGAAAGTGTTGTTCTTTGTTTGTTTTATTATATTTTTAATGGCATATACCTTCAAGACTTAGACGATCATGGCTCTCCACAAATTGCTTTTCTTTTTTATCCGTAAATTACCAGGACATTTTTGGGCGAAAGAGACTAGAGCGCTTTCCCGTTGCCTTCTCCAGAGTTTTGAATTCAGAGTTTTCATTCTCCTAGACTGGCTACCAACCAAAGCTCAGAAACCCAGCATACTCTGCTATTTAACACATAGCTAGGGTGTCTCTATTAAGCTGGCCGAAAATTTGATTTGTTTAGTAAGCAAAAAATTTACTTAACCATTTTGAGCCCTGAGTTCCTGAACAATCTTAGCCCTTCTTCCTGAGCCCCTGAGATATAAAAATAGTTACAAGTGTTTAACTACGGTTCAACCGGTGGCTGGGTATTACGTAATTTTTCACTACCACCGGTAAATCGGTGGTCGGGGCTTAAAAGGTTAATAAACCGATGAAACTTTTGGACAACCCAATATTTAGGATTTTTAATTGTTCTAAAAGTCTTGTTAGACGCTTCCGTAGCTTTTCAAGTACTCCAATGGTAATGGAGCCTGATAAACACGTAGACGTCTTAGAATTGTTTTAGTTCTTTGGTCAAGTTTGGATGTATGTCCAACTTTTCATATTCTTTTAAATTTATTGTCTGTTTTCGTGGATCTGCGAAATCTGATGTCTCCCATGATCAGTCACCACGGGAGAAACTTTTGCTAATGGTTTATTACAAAAACGGCCGATTCGTTGTTTGTCTCTTCTGTATTGTTTTACGGATGAGGCAACATTTGGCAAAAGATGGAATAGCAAATTTACACAACCAACATTTCTGGGTACAATACAGGCTAGACAACAGCATCAGTTAACGATGTGGGCTTAATTTGTAGGTAACTGTCTGGTAGGCCTATATGTTCTCCAAGCACGTCTTATAGGAGATCACTACAGAAACTTTATTTCAAACATACTTCCAGACCTGCTAGAGGATGTACCTCTGCTAACAAGAAGATAGCGTTGTGGGAGTATTTGAAAGGGTCTGCCAGTCAATGTTATGAATTGATGAGATGAGGTACAATGATGGCATTTTAGATATATGTGTATATGGCCTTTGGTCCTTGTTTTGGTGTGAGGAACCCACCTCCAATGCTTGTAAAAGAGTTTTTGATATACTATATATATATATATATATATATATATATAGATAGATAGATAGATAGAAAAATAGATAGATAGATAGATAAAAAGAAAATTGTAAAATATTTCTTAGTCATTGCCGACGCGTTTCGTCAATCTGACTTGATCAATCAAGTATAATTACATCAAATTCAAAATTTAAAAAGGAAAACGCTTCTCTATTTAATATCCAGAAAGAGGCTATACAGGAGCATTTCCTTTTTAATATTTCGAATTTGATGTAATCACGCTTGCCATCGTAAAGTCGGATGGACGAAACGCGTCGGCATTGACTAAAGAATATTTTACAGTTGTCTTTTTTATCTATCTATCTATCTATCTATCTATCTATCTATATTCAATCGACAATGACTAAGAAATATTTTACAATTGTCTTTTTTATCTATCTATCTATCTATCTATCTATCTAATCCTTTCAGATTTCTTGCTTCCCTGACAACTAAAATCTTCAAAAATCTAAATGCAATATCAATCGTCATCTGTCTTCTTGAACCCTGTTCCTTTTTGTTTTTTCCTCAATCTTCTCAGTTCTCAGTTTTCTCAATGTCTTTCATTTTAACTCAATTCTATCTGCTTCCTAGTGGCATTATCACCCTGCTTGGAGTGAAACCCTAAAAAAAGCATCGTCATTACTCACATATTCAGTCTATGGTATTCTCAGTATCCTTCTGTAGAACCACATTTCTGTTGCTTCTAGTCTCCTTTTTATGTGTGAGGAGATTGTCTAGTATTAACTGCCATATAGGAAGATAAATATTACTTAAACAGTTCAGTAGGCTTCTTTGTATCTAATGGAGAAACTATCATTTCCTATCTGTTTTTTTTTTTAACATAATCAGTAATATTTAATTAGCATAACAATTTCTAAAATCATATTTTAATAAATATTTATTCTGAATTATTTATTTTTCATTCAAATTTAGAAAAAAAGAATTTTAATTTTTAATTGAAAAGAATATTTTAATAAATATTTCTCTGGGTTATTTAATGTAAATATCAAAACTTGCTACATATAAACCATAATTCTGTTGATATTTTTTAATTCATCGGTCTTTGAAAGAAAGAATTTATATGTGCTATCTATCTATCTATCTATCTATCTATCTATCTATCTATTTTAGTCTTTAGATCATCTCTCCCTCTCTTTATCTATCTATGTATCTATCTATCTATTTTAGTCTTTAGATCATCTCTCCCTCTCTTTATCTATCTATGTATCTATCTATCTATCTATCTATTTTAGTCTTTAGATCATCTCTCCCTCTCTTTATCTATCTATCTATCTATCTATCTATCTATCTATCTATCTATCTATCTATTTTAGTCTTTAGATCATCTCTCCCTCTCTTTATCTATCTATGTATCTATCTATCTATTTTAGTCTTTAGATCATCTCTCCCTCTCTTTATCTATCTATCTATCTATCTATCTATCTATCTATCTATCTATCTATCTATTTTAGTCTTTAGATCATCTCTCTGTCTATCTATCTAGTCTTTACATCTATCTATTTTAGTTTTTAGATATCTATCTATCTATTTTAGTCTTTAGATCTTCTCTCTCTCTATCTTAGTCTTTCTTTCTATCTATCTATCTATCTATCTATCTATCTATCTATCTATCTATCTATCTATCTTATTCTATACGGTATTCTTATTCTATATTATCTATTTGCACATGCCCTTCTCTAGTTTTCGGTCTTTTCCAATATGGCCACCATCATCTCCTATGTATACATTTTCGTGTACTTTTCATTTCTTTCATTTCAACTTGTCACATACAATTTTCCTTTGGAAAAATATCAGTTTGTCGCCAATAAATATTCCTTTTGCTGATTTTTCTAATCGTCTGCAAAGCAATAAATTTCTCCTGACTTGTTCGTATTTTTTTTTATTCATAGATGTTCACATATGTCCAACGACCACTCCCGTCTTTTAGCTTTTAATAAAAATCTGAATATATCAGTCGGTATTCGTTTGAGGGAAAATCTTATTATAATTGCATAAACATAAACAAACACGCCTACCAAATAAATACTAGCTAACAAGGTATATAATCTGTTTATTGGAAAAAAAGGGTACTGAACTGTTATTTAATATCAATCGTCTTATATAGCAATGAATGCTGGAAAATCTCCTCCCAGATGTCGAATAGTCTTGAAGCAGCAGATATGTAGTTCTGCAGAAGGATGCTGAGAATATCATGGATGGAACATGTGAACAATGACGGAGTTTTAGAGAAAATGGAAACAAAAGAGATATATATACTTAACCCTAGAACACTACCCATCAATTAAATTTACACCACTACTAACCATAGCTATATCATACCCGATTTTGAAAATATCAAAATATATATATATATATATATATATATATATATATATATATATATATATATATCTTTATTTGAAATATTTTACATGCAGGTACTTCAAACTTTGTACTTTGTGTTAACGTTAATAGGAACTGAAAACATTATTTAGGTAAGAAAATCAGGTACTGAAAATTGTAATTAAAAATAGGAAATTTTGCGCCAGGTGCTATATACCAATGGTATATACTCTGGGTATATACCCATGGTTAGTGTTTTAGGGTTAAGATCAGGAAAAGTCAGTTTTAATTTCTTGGATTCATAATGAGGAGGGAGTGTTAGGAAACTTTGATACTCACAGGACAGTTTGAATGTGAGACAGACTAAGGATCTCATAATTTACATGGCAAGCTTGAGTAAATGGACCCTGAGCAAGGTTCAGGAGAGATGGCGAAAAGACAAAAAGAATAGGAAATTGTGGAGAACCATGATCGCCAACGTGCTGAAGAGACATGGCTCATAGAAGAAGAAGAAGAAGTTGGAAGGTTTTACGCAGATTGCTAGGAGATGGTGAGAAAGATACAAATGTATCACACGAAAAGACAAAATTTATTAAGAGCTACAAAGAACAGGAAATTGTTGAAAATCATGATCGCCAATGTGTTGACGAGACATGGCACATAGAAGAAGAAGTTGGAAAGTCTTACGCAGATTACAAGGATACAGAAAGAAAGATACAAATGTATCACACGAAAAGACAAAATGTATTAAGAGCTACAAAGAACAGGAAATTGTGGAAAATCATGATCGCCAATGTGTTGACGAGACATGGCACATAGAAGAAGAAGTTGGAAAGTCTTACGCAGATTACAAGGATACAGAAAGAAAGATACAAATGTATCACACGAAAAGACAAAATGTATTAAGAGCTACAAAGAACAGGAAATTGTGGAAAATCATGATCGCCAATGTGTTGACGAGACATGGCACATAGAAGAAGAAGTTGGAAAGTCTTACGCAGATTACAAGGATACAGAAAGAAAGATACAAATGTTTCACACGAAAAGACAAAATGTATTAAGAGCTACAAAGAACAGGAAATTGTGGAAAATCATGATCGCCAATGTGTTGACGAGACATGGCACATAGAAGAAGAAGTTGGAAAGTCTTACGCAGATTACAAGGATACAGAAAGAAAGATACAAATGTATCACACGAAAAGACAAAATGTATTAAGAGCTACAAAGAACAGGAAATTGTGGAGAACCATGATCGCCAATGTGCTGAAGGAAAATTTGGAAGGTTTTATAACGAGATGTAGAGAAAGATATAAATGTATTACTTGATCGTATTTTGGAGATCAGGTTGATTTGTAGACAAAAGGAAGACATGGCAGACTATTGTTTTTTCAACTAAACTCCAAGGAAGCCATTAGGAAGTAAAATGTTGAATAAATATTTGTACGTTGAGAGAGAACAAAAAAAATGCATATATTTAGGCAAAGGTTTTCTGCAATGGATTGACGAATTGACCGAAGAATAAAGTTGGTAAGTAGCCATTTGGACGAACAACTCCTCCATAACTAATGCTTTGACAGTAATCAATCACACAAAATTGTTGTAACATCCTTAAGAGAAGTTTGCATATTTTGACACAATAATTTTCCTATTTATTTTTATGGAACTGGAGCAACTGAGTCAACTGGAAACTGAGAACATTGTCTGTTTCCAAGCATCACGAGATCGTAAGAGGGACAGCATTATTTACAGATGTAGCGGGACGTCTAATTAAAATGTCGTTCTATTAGAGTCGGCATCAAAGTGTAGTATCTGTTCCTTACAGCACTACTGTGTTTCTTCCTTCGGACAGATCATTTGAAAAGCTTTGGGAGATACCAAGTTCTGGGTATTCCTACATTGAGACTGCACCACCCTCATTGCAACAAAGAGCGATGGTTGGCGGACACTAAAATCAGCGTGGCCAAACCATGCAAATAATTCAATAATAAAGCGAAAGTCTGAAAAATATTTGGTGGTAGGCGAACTTTTGTCTCAATGCTTTGATTGGCTGACAGAAGAAGAAAATTGGTGACCTCCTCCATGCCTAATGTTTTCACAGTTATGAAATGTCTGTTACATCCATTGTCAACCTTGGCGGTGGTTTACATATTTTCACACAATAACTTTCGTATTCATTTTTAGGGAACTGAGACAAAACTCTGCCTATATTTAAGAGACGAGGTGTGGTAACTATTTATACTATTTACATTGTTCGAACTGTTGTCCTCATCTTTATTGTTATATTCACAATGTTTTGGCTGTTGTATGCTTCGGGCTTCTTCATGTGATATATGTTGGAATTTCAAACCAAACCAAACCCTGCCATTCCGTTGTTTGTCTCTTCAGTCTTGTTTAGATGGTATAACAAATTTACACAACCAACATTAATAGGTTAACTCAAAAATGAAGAATTTGTGGACATATATTTATATAGACTTTTGTCCTTGTTTGGGTGTGAGGGACCAGCACCTAAAGTTTGTAAAAGCATTTTTGATACACAGTGTGTCTTTGTGTATGTGCGTGCGTGCGTGTGTGTGTGTGTGTGTGTGGATGGAGCCAATCCCTGTTGCATGTGCCTACTCAGGCACATTTGTGTTTGTTCAACACCCACAGAGCCTACCTGTGGTTTATACTGCAACTTTGCTGAGCAGACCTTAGTTATAGTTTCTAGTGTTATCTACAGTCTGAACAGGGCCAGCCTGCTCAAACTCATGGTCATGATGACTTGTGACTTCATGCTAGCACAACCATTGATGGCTTCCAAGGGGTTCTGTCTATCCAATTTCACTCACAAGGCTTGTCATATTCACAACGTTACGGTTTTTGTACGCTCCGCTCTTTTCAATTCTCCAACTTTTTTTTGTTCAGCTCGGCCGTGGCCAGGTATTGAACACACAAGTCCGAAGAAACTTGGAGAGTTGAGTTACTAGAGAGAGATAACTGGAGCTACATGTCACGTGGAACTAGAACACTTTATCACGGTGGACGAAATAAAGGGTTCGCTTAGAAATTCCGACCTATATCCCCTGAAGAAGTTTGGAACGTACAGCCGTCGTAAATATGACAATCGTCCGAACAATGTAGACAGTGTAAATTGAGGCAAAACTGTCAGAGCACATTTACGAGAGGTTAAATATTAATGGCTACGAGAATCGTAACTCTTGTAGGCACGCAGGGGATCATTTCGTAGAACGAACTCATAAGTATCACTTGACGTCAAGCTACCTGGGTGACGACCTCAGTTGCTGAGTAACCCACTAGGAGTCCAGATGTAATTGCACGCAGCGTTAACAAGGGATGGAATAATCCACATGGTCCAAATAATGGACATAAAAACAACATCCTCCTGGTCGTTTCCCCTTCGGCAAATATTACAATTCAAATCATTTCGATTTTTTCCCTGTTCACATTGCTTGTTTCATCCATATGTGTTATAGTTTCTCTGTGTGGCGCAAATAATTACAGGTATATACATATTTGTATATAATTTCTGGTATGTCATATTGAGATATAAATTATTTTGGATCATAGTGTATATTTGTCATTCCTTTCTTTCACCTATCCTTGTCCTTCCTTCCGTTGTGTTAAGCTCTTAGAATATCTCTACTACATAAATGCCTATGACAGGAAACTATCTAGTATCTATTTCTAAGCACACCATTACCGTAAAAGTGCCGCCATTATTTACAAATGGAGCGACATTTCTGACTAGAATAAGAGACACGCACTTCCTGGGTTTCGGGTAGTTTTTCTCTTCGGACAGTTAATGAATAAACTTTTAGAAGTATGTAGTTCCTGGTACCCCAGCCTTGCGGCTGCAGCTTGCTCACTACACTAAAGAGGAAAGGTTGGTAGATAGTAAAGACAGCGTGTCAGAGGTCGCTGGAACTGTCCAATTTCTGGCCTTGGTCCATACATACATGTATAAAATTCCAACTTTTAAAACCAACCTCTTTTCACGTCCCGCCGACGTGGTGAAGTCTATTGCAATATTTATACATTTTAATGAGAATTATATATATATATATATATATATATATATATATATATATATATATATATATATATATATATTATTTAAAATGGAGTGGAATTTCTGACTAGAGTTAGAGACACGCACTTCCTGAGTTTCAGGGCAGTTTTTCCCTCTTAGGGCAGTTAATGAAAAGCTATATATATATATATATATATATATATATGTGTGTGTGTGTGTGAGTGTTATTCGAAGGCGTCTGACACTAGTATTATTCAACGGTGTTACTATAGTTGTATCTG